GCATGATCCATAAAAAAAAAAAAATTTAGCGTTCAAAATTTTGTTAATATTTAAAAAAGACATGGTGTATCTAGACTTTTGCTGTTAACTGTATCTATCTAATACTTTTTGTACTCTCCGTCTTCTGTTATTATTTTTTTTGGTATTTTCAGGTACTTAAACTCACTCCGTTACTCTCATGTGCTAAAGGTGAAGTGTGCCAACCGGCACGTCATTCATTCATTCGGTTTTTGTTCATGTTTTTCTAGAATATTCGCACCGGTTGTGTCAGATTTTTATTTCTTTTGTTTAAGTGCTTTCAGGTTTATTTACCAGTTATGGTAACCAACTATGTAGAGACTGCGCGTTGTAGAGATTGTTTATGCAAAGCATAAAATTTCAATATTTAAACTGAAATTGCAGCGGATTGATTTGTGTTTGTATGCTCTTTATGTACCATTTTTATTGTTTATTGGGCAGGTAATTAGATTAGATTACTCAGTGATTTTATTATAAATACATAGGTACCTACATGTGTTTGTGTCCGCGTTTTTTAATAATAGTTTATTTAAAGCATTTCAAATGACGTGCTTGCTTACATACTCGTACTTAAGCAAGTATGCTGGGTAATTTTGTTCCAGTCATACATATGTATGTATGAGTTTCTTAATTTAAATTGAAACTGCTCTGAATAAATCATCTTTTTATTGCCCCAAATACAAGTCATTATTTTTTTTTGTATTTTTGCAAATTGCGTCATAATTGTTGATTATAGTTAGTGATGTGCTGGGTTGATACCTTTAAGTATTGATAAATACCGATTTGAAAAGTATCCAATACATTCGATACTCGGTAACGATATGTTGAAATTTCTAATAAGAGCGAACAATAGCCAAAAATATGGAATTAAACCGGTTCAACGGATCCTCGCTCATGGAGATAGTAGAGCCTATAATTGTGAATAAAATAGTAAATGCGTGTTTGTATATATATTTTCCACATAGGTTTTATGGCAATGGTGCGATAAGACACCGTAATGGGGATTTCTAAAACTTCTTACAGAGGTTGCCCTAAATTTCTCATTCCCTTGTTCCAAAAATATATCCAACCAGAATTTAGAGAGTACACGTTAGCTTGGAACATACGCCGTCATAATGCAAATAGAAATCAATGTTCTTTGATGAGAGAAATATCATAGGCATAGAAAAAAATCTAATAATGTTCTCACGAAAACTTTTTTAGTTGGTAAGACTGTTGCGATAAGTACAAGAAGGCGTTGTTGATAACGGCAATATTGCTGAGATACGCTTGGCGTACTTGTTCACCGCACGCGTTATGCTTGCAAATCCACATTGGTCATTTTTTGAGAAAAGCATCATCTTATTTGTACCTTTTGTGTTCTTTAGGCGAAATAATTTTTTCCAAATTTTATTGAATCGGTATCGGGTACCGAAACTTCTTTAAAGTATTGGGTACCGACAATTCAGCACATCACTAATTGTATTGACAGTGGTTTAAAATTTCATTAAGAGTAAAACGTAATTTCTGATAAGTATGTAGTGAACATAAATTACTCACTTGCACCTTTTCCATCTCAGCAAGAAATGTTTGCGTTTGTGCACATACTTACACAATAAATTTAAGTTCAAAAATGCGGTGGTCGCTGAAGAAATGAAGCTTTTGTTTCGTTTTCCTCGTTTTAGCGGTATTGTCATACAATTTTCTGGTTACTTCGCTGACCAATTCAAGAGAAAGGTTCTAGCATACATATCTGACAGATGTTAAAAGGATGTTATTTGCCCTTGTTTCTTGAAAGTGTTCGCTGTTTCCACTATTTGAAATTTGAACTAAACTGTTCCATATTGTGACATAGTCCCAGACTACCCTAATTTTATCTTATAAACGACTTCGAACAAATTCAAGGGAATAAGATTCATTGCTCAAAATACTTGCGCGTAACAAAATCGAATGAATCCATGATCGCAAGAATCGAAAAAAGCAATTTTTTTTTTAAGGTTCATTACATTAAAGGTTGTATAGTTTTCACCTCCGAAAAAGAAAAAAAACTTAAAACGTAATTTTTAAAGTAATTCTAAGGGTCTAGGTAATTTTTTTTTTTTATCCAACGAGCATATTTTTTCTTCATCTCAATATCTTTAAGATAATTCTACTTTCATTTCGCTATCTGTTCTCGTTCTCGACTTATGTATGTATTAAGTCTTTGTCACAAAAAAAAATAAATTTTTCGCACTGTTGCCGAGAATGGCGTCAGTGGAGGAAACTTAATTATTACCCTACATACATAAAATATGTATGCTAAGTGCTTGAATGAAAGCAATGTACCTATTCAAGTGAAGCAGGCTGTACATATTTTATTTTCACAAAATCACAATTAGTGATGTGCATAAATATATGTGAATATGTTGTTCTAAAAATAGATAATAAAATACACATTCGGAATCAAGCTCGTCTTTCGCTTAATAAACCCGTAAAAAGTAACATTAAAGAACACGTGAATTTATCAGCTGATTAACGCGTTGTTGCTAACTGCTTGTCGTAGGGTTTTTATCACATGCAAATATTTTTAGCCCATCGTGATTTTATTTATCACTTGTTTACTGCTTATGTTCTCGTTGTTAATTTAAAAGCACTCAATTTGAATCAAATACTTAACCACGGAATAATTATTATTATTTTTATTTATTTAGCAATGCTGTCTTTTAATCTAATTACGAAACCGATCAATTTGGAGCATTTCGACCAGTAGTTTGTCTAAATGAGGCTCGTGCCTACAATTTAATGAATTGTATGTACTATGTAAATGTATACGTAAATATACATACACATGTTATTCTCAATCACTAGGACACGCTTAAAGCACTCAATTAGCACTAAAAAAGTAAAAAAAAACGAGTAAAGAAGTTCGGGCGAAACCGAATTTTATATACCCGGCGCAGGTATAAACTATCGTCGTTCCAACTTTCTTTAAACTACTTAAAAGTCTATAACAGTTTTATTTATTGTTAAAATATTGTTGTTAGTCAAGAATGATAGAATACAAGATTGCGCCGATTAGAGAGGATTTTTGAGAATAACTTTTGTGTGACGTCACACTGGTGCAATTGTGAGAGAGAAATGCCAAAACGTGAGCAAGAATGGAAGAAGAAAAAATGTTGCAAGAAAAATGTAAACAAGTTGCACCAGTGTGACGTCATGCAAACAACGATTCTGTCAAATTCGTTAAGAGAGGAATAGCGGTCTGAGATCGGCGCAACCTTTGTATTCTCTCAATCGTGGTTGTTAGTATTAACTTGGAGTAAATGAACGTTCTGTTATTGAAATATCGGAGTTTTCGTATATCCGAAAATTGCCGTTACAAGGGAAGCCGTTGAAGTTTTAGTCCGATTTGAATAATTTTCAACGAATTGCTTTTTCATACCAAGGGTATTAAATGCACCGAGTTTACCGCGGTACACACTTTTGATCATAATTGGGCGGAGGCACGCCCAAAATCCAAGAGTTTATAATAATTTAATTTTATGCTTAGTGGTCCTTGAAATAATCGATTTTGAGTCAATTAGCTTCAGTAGTTGCTGATTTATCGCAGTTTCGTGTTTCTGTAAATTACCGTTATATGGGAGGTGGGCGTGGTTATTGCCCGATTTCAAAGAATTTCAACAGATTTCTTAGCTGGATCCTAAGCACGGCTCATAGCGAGTTTGGTAAGGATTGGTGAAGCGGCTGCTAATATACAATATTTCAACGTAAGTGGGCGGGGTCACGCCCCTTTTCCAAAAATTTCATAATAATATTTTGCACTAAAATTCTACTTCACGTGCTGATTTTGAAGAATTTGGATCCAATATTTACTGAAATATCATAGTTTTTGGTCGCGTGGTTTGAGGCGTGGTTACATTCCGATTTCGCTCGTTTTCAATAGCAACCTACCTTGAAGGGAAACCTATGTACATACATATGTATATACCAAATTTCGTTGAGATAACTAAATTTTTGCTCGAGTTATCATGTACACGGATAGACGGACGGACGGACGGACGGACAGTCATGGCTTAATCGACTTATCCTTTCATTTTGTCATTTATGTATACATTTGTCTATATCTATCTCGATTCCGTTAGGTTGTTACTCGGGTATTAAAAATGTTAATACAAATACATATATTTTTTATTGCACTTAAAAGTTAATTAACTAAATAGAAATCTAACTTAAAGCCAATATCTGCAGTCCTCAAAATAATTAATTTGCTTGCACTTATGCATAAATAAAAATTTTATCACCTCTTAAAATCGACAACGTCACGTGGCCGTCCATATCTAAACCTTGACTAACAGTATTTAACAACAATAATTATCTAATCTCCATGTATTATTGTTTATTAGGCATCAGCGTCATAGGATGAGTGTACAAATTTTGTTTATATATATATATATCATTAAAACATGGCTTTATTACAAATATATGTACATACCTATGTATGTATGTATACTAATTAGGTAAATTTTCACTTTCATTTTTTTCCACTGAAAACGTGTTTGTCTCACTGCAATTGCTAATTAAATATCCGCGCTTCCTACCTGGAATAATATTGTACAGGTATTTATGTAAGCCTTACATCTAAATTATCTGCACCGCTGACGAGAATACGTTTAGCAATGCATATGTATGTATGTACATACATACGTACATATTTGAGTTAAATACATATACACTTGTTGTTCATTGGCCCCAGCATTTAATCTGACCTAAAAAACTGTTCAAGCCTTCGTAAAAAACTTAAACACGTACATATATATTTAAGTACATACATACATACATACATATTTATCAGCATGCTAAGCCCTATTTTACCCGCTCAACGTCCCAAAACCGCGCCACAAATTGTCGTAGGTACGACTAGTTCATACAAACCCACTTTTTACCTATATGCACATAAGTACTTACATACATATGTACATACATACACACATATTTCACCAATTGTCCTTCGTTCGTTTACTCACCTTTTGCCGTTTTGCACAGGACAATGCCGAACCATGACGTCATTGGTGTTTCGTTTTCATCCTGCGTTCGCAGTGACAGCTTCAGCGCCACCTCATCCTCATCGTCATTGTCATCGTCCACATCATATTCGTCGACACCACTGCCACCGCTGCCGCTGCTATTGCTGCGCATAGTACGTTTATTAGTTGTACTGTTGTTGGTGTTTGCGCTGCGCACTTCGACAATGAAGCCACATTCGACGACAGCACAGAAAATACGTTGCTCATCGCGTTTGAACCACTTGGATTCGCGCAGCTTTTGCACTGCAACCGAACTGCCAAAAGTCGCAGTTTTACTGTGTAAATGCGCCAATAAACTTAACCCGCTGGCCGTACTGGCGCCACCGCCGACAACACTACCGCCGCCGCCGCCTCCGCCTCCGCCTCCTCCTGTGCCCCCGCTGCCATTTGCCGATGCTGCTGCATTGTTCGACTGATGGTTGTGACCCTGGAGTGGCCACCACTTGAGCGCATTCACAAAACTATGTGAGCGATTTAGATTTGTGGTTGTTGCACTTGTCATTTTAAGGCTGTTGTTGTCGTCGTCGGTATGGACTCTGTTTGTATCACTGTTACTATCACCGTTGTTGCGTTGCTTTGCTGTAAATATTGAACCAATTTTATGGTCAGTGCCGTGTGGCGTATGGGTAGCTAAGCGAATACAATTTGCTGCACCAATTTTGTTGCCCTCGAGAAATGCAAGTGGTGTACAAGAAAAAATTTATTTCGCTTTTTTACTTGTTGTTGTTGTAATTTTTCAAATGTATTCAGTACGTGAAGTGCGGGTACGCTTTTGTGACTTTCACTATGTGTATTTGCTTCTGTTTCGCCGTTAAAAATTTTCACTTAAGGTTTTCACAAATTTTCTATGGCTGAAAATTGCAATTCGTTGCGTGCCTCACGCAACTTTTTCGCGTTTAGCTACTTTTTTACTTGACTACTTTTGGCAAAAGTTTGATTTTTATTCGTGTTTTCTGGCTTTTAGTTAACTTGTGTGGTGTTATAACAAACAAAAACTGTTGTTCCTGTGATTATTGTATCACTAAAATGCTCTTTGGTTGTTTCATTCGCAGTGGGTGCGGTTTAAATAGAAAAAAATGATTTGATTAATGTGAAAAGATTTGTTCTTTTTCAAATATCTGTAGATAATGATATATTTTTCTTTAACAAATTTCACAAGTTGTTGAAAAATTCTCAGTTTTACTCGTAAGTTTTCGCAAAATCGAACAGTTGCGCTAAATTCCAATTCACTTCTGCTCTGCAAGAGACCTTAAAGGCGAATACCAGCTATTCGCACTGAATGTGTTTATTTAAAGCCGGTTTCACTCGCTCACTCTTGGCGCTACAATACATGTGCGCTACGAGAAACGCGTCTGGCCGATGGTGGCAGTTGATTCTCTTATCTCAATGGGGCCCCCCAAAATACTTAGCTCCTTACTTTGTAGTTAAATATGTACATATATTAATGTAGGTGCTCATGTATACATATCAGCATTCAAGTGTGGTGAATACATTTTGCTTCGCTCGTGACTACTTACTCAACTTACTCTTTTTAATCTAATTTTTTCTTCAGAAAACAGAAAACGTGAAAAAAATATGGGAGATATGAAAAAATGTGATTATCTGGTGCGAGGTGAAGAGAGAAGAAAATTTTTCTCTGGCTTGTATTATTTTTTTTTTGTGTTTTAATAATAATGAATGTACATACATATGTAGCTAGCATTCGTACAGCTAGCACTGTTGCCAACATAGTGCTTTTCTTAATTCAGAACGTGAAAATTTTTGAGTTTGGTTCTTGGTGCTTTTTTTTAGTTTGAAGACACCAAAACTGTAAATCTGAAACAACAATGGAAGTTAAATTTAGAGCAAATGAAAGTCTCGTAAGGAACTTTACAAAAATGGAAACAAAATCATGGCACAATGACAATCATAAGCGAAAGAATGGTTTGGGCTGTATTTGTTACATTTTTTACGAATATTAAAAAATAAGACACTTTAAAAAGCGAAATCAAATTTTGTTGTTTCAGGTGTGAAACGGTAGGAAAGAAAAGTTCTTTACATTGCTTTAGTTCTCGAGATCATAAGAGCATACAGTGTAGATTTAAACTTCCAAATAGTTCATGAAACTTAATTTCTTGTTGTTACTTTCATTTGATAGGAATTGTAGAAAAAATTAAGCAAAACGAAGAAAAATGAATATTTAAGCATCGCAAATCTAAGCCAAACGGCAACGCCGGACACAGCTGCAAATTAGAAAACAAGAACAAAAATGTTAACGTTGCGTCGTTTGGACGAAAATATTTGAATTTATAGAAAACAGAAAAAAACACAAATTTTTATAAATTTGAATCGGCACACCTACAATAAAATTTTTTATGCATACAAAGTCCATTAAAAAACGCGATTTTTCTTGGGTTTTAGTGCTTTTTCAAATTCGAAACTTGGCAACACTGCCAGCTAGCCGCATACCATAAAAATGTTGGTGTGACACAAAAGGTGTTAATTATGAATTTTTCTTTAATAAGCTTTTAATATCAAATGCAATCCAACTTCCATACATATACATATATGTACCTGTGTTTGTATATTGTTTCTTACCGTAATTTTAATAAAATGAATGTATGTATATATGATATGTATAATATTGCGTGCATTTTTTGGTGTGCTAAATTGCGTTGCTTGGTAAAATGTGATAGATTATCTATACAAAAGTTAGAAAGTAAAACATTTTCTATTTAACAAAAAAAAAATTGTAAAAAATGTAGCGGCCCATAAATTCTACTACTAATCTAGTGCTTTTTTTGTAACTCAAGGCGAATTCATGCATATGCGCAGCAGACCTCAACCTCCCAGGTTCTGTCTTGAATCATCGTCTTTATCCTCCTACTCCGGGACCTTGCCCTCATGCGGGGAAAGTGTTTGCCACTTCTGTGTTCAGCCGAGAGAGGTAGCTGTTAAGACGGTGGCACCACCCAGAACAGAGTTTTGCTAGGGTGCATCTCGTCTCTCTCTTGGCAGTTCCGTTTCCTCTACATTTATGGGCGGCGGTCGACCGCCATTTTTGCAAATAAAAACATTTTTTTTTTTATCTTTGTTAATATCCCGAAAACGTGCATTTTAATAAAAATGAATTATAAACAAAATATAGCAAGATTCAATTACCTTTTATTTAATGTAACACTTGTTTTGATCGTTGTAAAAATTTTTAGGGAAAACTTTTTTTCTGTAATCAAAAAACCGTTAACTATAAAACCAAATAAATTTAAAAAAGCAGCTCCTTAAACCTCTTACAAATTAAATTATGCTTCCATTAAAAGAAAAATTGAAAATCCGTCAAGAGTTGTAGGCTGTACACCTATTTGAATAGTGAATTTCGCGTTTGCACCACTGTGCTTGGTGTTAGGGCAACGTACATAGACTGAAACTCCAATCTTCGGGCATGTCTTCATCTGACGAAAATACGCTTAACAGCTGATATGATTGCATCCTCTCAACCAGCTCAGCTGGTATGCCGCACAATGGGACTACAGCGACAAAAACTAGTAAAAATGGACTAGCGAACTCTGAGAGAGCACTTATGTGTGTACTCAGATTGATAGCAAAATATGCAGCTAACCCGACTCAAATTTTTTTTTATAAATATGCTTATTTTTATCTTTATTTGTAACAAAAAATTTTGATTTAACGCAAGTATTTAATTTACATTAATTTCTCTACTAGTGCCGATATACATAATAATAAGCCAATCTGATTGATGACCAGTTTTTTTTTTTTATACATCTGTGGGCGTTCTGAAATATGATATGGGCTGATGTACATATGTATGTGGTTATATATGGATTGAATTACATTAATTTTATTTCCATTCAATATAAAATGGAAAATGTGTAAACAAGTCAAGCTATAAATAAATCAAACTATAATATGTACATGTGTATGTTCGTAGCGTTCTAAATTTAAACGTCACATGAGATTGCCACTTATTCACTTCACCTACTCATCTAATCGTTGATTAATTTAGATACACATTAGGGTGCCCCTTAAAAGCATCAACATATACATTTTGTACCACTTTATTTCGTTCCACGTAGAAAATAAAGACATCCACGAAAATTTAAAAATTTTTTTATTTCAAATTTTTTAAATTACAAAAATTTCGACTTTGACCAGCTGTAACTCAGCAAGTTTTGGTCCGATCAAAACAAGTGGTGTGCCGTTTGAAGCGTATTTGTCTTTTCAACGAATTAATGATTGGTATTGATCGGATTTATCAGTTTAGTTATGAATGAAGTTATATCCCAAACACACACACACAAATATCATTAATGCAAAAAACTGCCCAAAGAAAAAAAAAATATGCGTTTTGAGCTCAGAGAATCCATACTAACTCTCTCCTGAACTTACTCAAAAAAAAACTTAAACCAATAACAGTCTTTGGTTAAGCTCTAAAGATTTTATTTATTTATTTATTTATTTATAATAACTCCATTTTTCGATGACTATGAATTTATATTATTTCATAGTTTTCAATAATATGTGAAGTTATTAGATTTAAATTTTTCAAACCCTGGTATCGCCACCTCTAAAACTTATTTTAAAATTTTGAAATTTTCGTGGACAGCTTTGTTTTCTACGTACTTAGAACAAGAACTACCCTAATATATTTACATATGCATACTTACATATATACTTAACTTGAGTATTTGTTTATGTTGACTTCAGTTTATCTGGAAAACACCAGTAAGAACTTGTCAAAATTTAAGTAACGTTGTAAATATCTTCTCACAAAAAATCAAAGTCTGTGCAAATACGGTGGTGGCATTGTAATTAGCAGGTATTTGTAAAGAGGCTTTATCTTTCATTAAACTAATGCAGTATTTGACTATTAAACTTTTCATGTGAATTAATGGTGTGAAATATAAAAACTCTTAATAAGTTTCCATCATTGTGTACCGTAACTAGCCGTCTAACATGAATCATAGAAAGATAGGTGCTATTTCCCTGCAGTGAAAATCCAAACCAGTTAGAAAATATACTAGTTCATAAACTAGTATGTGCATACCAGTTCGACATTTTCGGAGAACTTAAGCGTTCAGCGACATCTGCCTTTGAATTGCCAAATAAAATAAAAAGCAATTAATTGCTTTTCTTACAAATGCCGGCTGTGGCGTGACGTGAAGACTACTGGTTCTGGTTCTGGGATCGCAGGTTCGAGGCCGCTTGGAGGTGGTTAAGATTTTTAAAGTTAAATCAATGTAAGTAGGAATAATTATTTCAATTTAAATATAAATAGCAAACTTAAAAATCTGGTTGCATTACATAAAAAAGAAACAAATATGTGGGAAGAAATACTTAATACTTAAATTTAAGAATAACAAAAAAACCCTAAATAAAAAATATAAATAAAGGAAATATTATAAAAAAAAAAATAAAATAAAAAAATTTTCCCTGCGCCCGAGCTTGAACCTGGTACCTCAGGCATACCACGCGAGTGCTTTGCTCTGTCGGCCATTGCGACTATTGGAGCGCCGCGAGCAAAAAGGCATACTAATGCTTTTCATGGGGGATGAATTGGCAGACTATCTCATCAACTGGTATGATGCTACTAGTATTTATACTAGTAGATGCTGATGCATAGCCTGACAATTGACATCTCGTAGGACATCGCAATGTTAAAAATACCAGTCGCTAACATTGAAAAAGGATAGAATGTGAACTAGTTGGGCTGAAACGCAAACTGGTAGAATTCTAGTTCACAACTGGTAGCTTTCCCTGCAGGGTTATAGTGAGTTTTAAAAAGATACATGACGCGCACATTTGTTGGATGGTGTCGCATAAATGTAGGCACCTTACATTTTACGCAGCCTCCGAAGAGCTTTTTCATCGCAGAATTATATTCGAATGTTTGCCATTTCCAGGATCGAACCTCGTTCCTACCGAGTGGTAGTACTAACCGCTAAAACCTTGGTTACACCGGCCGTTAGTAATCCCCAGCGAGCCAATTATTCAGTAGTTTTTGATTTAGTCCAAGACGAGTTTTTGTAGATACAAGACCAGCGGAGTTTGCAAAATTTTTATAGATCCTTTTATATCAAGAAATGAAACCGAATCAAAATAACGTTCGGTTTCGGTTTTTTTTGCGTCATTAAACATTGTGGTTAATTTTAGTTCATATAAAGAATAACTAAGTTACTTTGGGTATTGCCTATTAGCTTAAAAGGAATTTTTATTTCTAATAAAATATATACACTGGCGGCAAAAAGTATTGGCACAGTTGCTTTTTTACAATTTTAATTGTAATATTTTTCCGAAATTTTTTTATAAAAGTATGGTCCATTCCACAACAAAAAACATAAAAATATAATTTTTAAACTTTGTACAAAAATCGCGAAAAT